ATATATAAGCAAGAAACACCTCGGAATCTTTCCTGATCATCTTCTCAGCTACCAAAGCAGATACAATATTCGTCAGAAATCCACGACGTTCCCCGATCATTACAATCTTTCGATTATCTGGGGTCTTCAGAACAGCTCTCTTAGTCTCAAAATCAATATTTACTCGATGTTTGTCCAACCAATCTACGCCGAGAATCAAATCAAACTCTTCCAAAGGTAACTCCATCAGGTCAGCCAGAAAAATCTCTCAATTGATCTCAATAGGGCACTCTTTATAAATACGATCCAACACAATGGACTTGCCTAAGGGACTTTGAACTATCACCGAATGCTCAGTATTCTCAACATGAATATTTAGACCCTCAGAAACAGAATGCGATACATAGGAATTGGTAGAGCCGCTATCAAACAATGCAAAGTATGGAACTGAATGAATAGCAACAGTACCTGCAATTACATTAGGCCAATCACGATCCTGTCGAAGTCTGGCAGTGTAAACCAATGCAGGCTGTCCAGTCTTAGATCTGACTGAACCCCTACTCTGAGATGCTCGGCCTCTACTAGCAGATCCTGGTACTCTACTCTGATTACGACTTACTACTGGAGTCTGAACAGTACTTTGAGTACGTGCGAGAGTGCGAGCTGGCGTCTGAACTATAGTAAATGGCCTTGGACAATCCTTCATGAAATGGTCACGAGAACCACATCTAAAACATGTACCCAATTTCTTCCAACATTCTCCAGGATAACATCTCCCACAATAATCACATAGCTGCAAAGATTGGGACCCAGAAGATCCACCATGTCTAGAAGGCTGAAAAGTTGAAGAACTAGATGCAATAGGTCTGACACTCATACCACCTCTATGAAAGGACTCACCCCTGCCTCTCTTGCTAGGGTGTGCTGAAGAATCAACAGAACCAGAAGGCCTCCTGAATCGGGTTTGAGCTCGACTCCTGATCTCATACCAGAGTCCATTCTCAAACCTCAAGCATCGATCTGTCTCCGTGTCAACAAGTCCAGGAGCATAACGGCTCAATCGGATGAACTCCACCTCGTAATCCATAGCAGACATATTACCTTGCTCCAGATTCTGAAACTCCTGGCGTCGCTCCTGCAGATATCTCTCTCCGATGTAGCGACTCCGGAAGCGCGTCTTGAAAAGATCCCATGTTAATTGGTTCCTCGGAATACTACTAGAAATTGATTGCCACCATCTAAAGCTCTCTTTCTTCAACATAGTTAGGGCCCCCCTTCAACTTTTGCTCAGGTCTGAGGTCCATCTCATCCATAATCCTCTCAGTGTCCTCCAGCCAATACTCAGCGTCTGTCGGAGGTCCACCAGTAATACCCTCGAATGGAATTACACCAGCATCGACCAAAGAATTTGAAATCTCCACTGCAGTCATGTTACTAGGGGCTCTAGCAGCTCTCTGAAACATGCGGAAGATAGCTCTATTAATGGCGTCTTCATTCATCTCAAAATCCTCATCTTCAGTGACGGGAGGTCTCTCACAGGAGTAAACTGATCATCATGAGAAAGAGTCGGATCTACTTGCTGAAGAGGAGGATCATGTGGTGACATCAGATCGTCTATCGTAACAGAAGGTCGAGCGACTCGCCCTCTACCACGTCCACGTCCTGTCCTACGACCTCTAGCAGCATTCATCATTGGATCTATAAGGCTCTACAGAAAGAATTTTGAAACATGTCTCAGATTAGCATCAGGGATCTTGAGAAAACTTTAAATCATAACATAAGGTGACATTTTTTTTCTTCTTAAAAATCCAAAGTTTAGGACCCATATACAGTCCGAGTGTTTAAAACCGAAAGCTCTGATACCACCAAATATAACCCCCAGACCCGGTCTGTAAGTTAGACCCAAACCTAAGTGGTCACATATCCCATTCAGAGTTTTTTTTTTTTACAACTTATAGAATATTAAATATAATATAGAACAACAAAATATATTAATAATACAGATATGTCCAAAACGATAGCAAATATATGTCACCAAACATAACTGAAAAACATATAAAAATATATGTTCGTACAAAATAAGTAATTGATCTCCCCTGATGCCAAATCTGCTAGCTTACGGTCTGCTGTTATCTGAAAAAGTTAAAAAATATAGAATGAGCTAAAAAGCCCAGTGTGCTCCAAACAGTGCATAAAAAGATACGAATAAAATATTCCAATAAAATTGGTTATCAAACATATTTTAAAATATGATCATTATTTCCATATAATCACTCAGGTTTCTATCTTTTATATATTTTCCTGAAACATACACCCACCTGCACACCAGTAAGGACTTACCCTAAGCACGAAGCTGAGGAGCCTACAGTAATAACGTCTCCATCCAGTCGTTTTCATCACTACAATGTGTAGGTTCCTCAGAACTATACACCCACCTGCACACTAGTAAAGACTTACCCTAAGCACACATCAAAGGAGTCTGCAGTAATAACTTCCCCATCCAATCACTCCACTCACTACAATGTGTAAGTTCCCCAGAACCATACACCCACCTGCACACCAGTAAGGACTTACCCTGAGCACAAAGCCGAGGAGCCTGCAAGTATTCTTCCTCCAACAATTTCCCCCCAATGTCAGTAATAAACAAGTATGTATTCAAGTAAAATTGGTGAATAATTCATGCTTTAAAAAAACATATATCGAAATACAGAAATCAGATATCAGGAAATCAATATTCAGGAATCACGTATCATGTATCATGTCACAACAGTATTATGAATTATCACCAATCTAAAACAATATTTTTAAAACAGTAAAATAACACTGTCATGAAACACACCTGTAACAGTGTGAGAAATCAAATAGGGAAGCTTATTACTGGTTTTATCGATCACGCTCTGCTGCGACGCTAGATCCTACGAATTGGAAAAATCCATATTGGAAACCTAATATAAATAATCTAAATATTATTTAAATAATATACGGAAACCTACGGGTAATTCTCGTAGTACGAGGTTCAGGCTGATCTAACGAACGGACAACACCGGACCTAATTGATCCTTGCTCAGGTGAAACACGAGTACCTTCATAAAATATTTTTTTAATGAATCAATTCCTTAACCAAATCTCAATTAAATAATCAAAATATTAAAATATTAAGCCTTTTGGGTTTACAAGCTCGATTCGGGAATTTCGGGTCAGAATTTGGCAAAACGAACTTCGGAATCAGATTCAGGACGTCGAAAAACATAAAGTATGACTTTCCGAAAATTTGAATTATTGGTTAAAATCAAAGTCAACGGGTTTGACTGACGATTCAGAGACTTTCGAGTTTTGAATTTTGTGAAACCGACCCCAAAAACGAATTTGGAACGTCGAAAAATGTTAGGATAGGTATTATCGGAAAAGATTAACGGCTGTTTAATAGCCTGTCAAAGCCGGTCAATGTTCTGGTCAAAGGTGGTCAACAAACTGCCAACTATTTTACAGAAATAGCACCATTTTTAAAATAATTTCCAAAATAGCACCATTTCAAATTAAATTCCCAAGATAGCACTTTTCGAATTAAATTCCCAAAATAGCACTTTTCAAATAAATTCCCAAAATAGCACCCTTTTCGAATTAATTCCCAATATAGCACCCATTTCAAATTAATTTCCAAAATATCACCCGGTCAACGGGTCGGATCGGTCAACGGGTCGGGTCAAGGTCAAACCGTTTGAAAAATCGGTTGAACCGGTCATTTTAGTCTTCCCCACGCACAGTGGGGGCGCGTGCGGGGTCTATAAGCGTCGGAAAATTTACAGAAAAATTCCTCAAAATCATTTTGAGCGATTTTGAGATACTTATAAAGATCGGTTCAAATTTTTGAACGGCGGAGAGCTCGTTTTCAACAATCGGAAAGTTTGACTGCTTCACCTCCCCACGCGCCGCCGTCGACGGAGACCGAGGATGACACCGGCGGACTCGGAACGGCACAAGGAACACGATGGTGCGGGAGGTGTCGTAAACGGAGCAACTATCGGCGATGAATTTAAGATTTTCTCGGCGATTGAGCTAAAAAAACGTCGATGTTTTGACTTGAAATTTACGGCGTTTGGCAGCGTTTCACTTCAATTAACTTAAGGGATTTGTTCCTCACTCGATAACGAACACGATGGTGGTTTTAAAACGACGATCGGAATTCGGACGGCGTCAAGATCGTAGTCGAAAGTTGAGGTTGGGAAAGGGAGTTTAGGCTCAATTTAGGAGCAATTGGTTTATCAGAAACCAATTGCTATATATAATACTTAACTTCACCAATTTTTTTGGGTAAATTCAGGATTTGGTCCCTGAATTTTCTTTAACTCTAAAATAAACTACAAATTTTTAAAATCTTACAATTTAGTCCTCAAATTTCATCAAATTACTTAATTAAAACCTCAAATTACAATTATATATTTTTTTTCAAATTTCCGGTTTGTTACAAGTTTTGCACCTGTTGAATCAGCTAGTTCACGTGAATGTCACTCTCTGTACAGATGCTGCAAGAAGAAAGTAGTGAAGCTGATACTACTGGATAAAGAAATGCTGAAAGCCTTCCTGAAATGATGAAAGGATGCACCCAAGGGATTGAAGAGCTGTTGAAGCATTCTTGGAAGAGTAAGGGGGATGCAAATATAACTGGTTGATCTCACATCAGTCTTTTTCTGAAGGAGAGGATGGAACAGGATAAAGTTATTAAAAAGAGAAATGCTGACAACCTACAGCAAGAGGTTGCCCTTCAACCAAAGAACTATGACCAAGAAAAAAATTGTCTCCTTAACAAAACCACCTTTACCTTCTCACCTAGCAGCTCTCACTTTGTCTCTATTGTGATTCACAAACGAGATGTTTAATTCAATAAACATTAATAACAAAGATTCAGTGTCAGTCAAATAAAACAATGATTAGTTTCGCCAGAATTACTATTATTACTGAATGGCAGGAAAGTGCAGTTCTAATACAATTTTGGTATAGAGTTCTCAATAAAGAAGTTATGCATGACATTAAGCCATGTATCAAACTTTCAAATATATGTGTGAGATATCCTCAAGTACAAGAATAGCTAAACCACAATAAAAATAGATGCAGGAAAGAGATGAGTGTTGATTTTTAGTTGTGAAACTGAATGAAACCTTGCATTCACCCCCTGCATCAATATCAAAGTTAATCCCATCACCATGAGTGTTGTTTTGGTATTGGAGGAGGTCCAGAATATTGCTGTCCTCCTCCCATCTGTGGAGAACCTGATGACTGCCATCCACCTATCTCAGCAGGTCCAGAAGGTGACTGTGGCGACTGTCCAAAAGATCGAGGTTGACGCCCAGTGAATCTCCACCTATTTTCATTTAAAACTCTATCAATATCTTCATTCCTCCCAACTTTTCCAAAAGCTACACGCACAAACTCCTGCAATGCAGGGGTAACACCGATTGAATATCTCATCATCTGGTCCAGTACATCGAGGCTTTTGTCTAGCTCATCAGCATTGCAAAGCCCTCTGACTACAACATCATAAATAGAGGCATCCGGTTTAGGATCTTTCTCTTCCATTTTCATCAAAAGTGCAGCAACTTCCATGTTCTTACCATTCTTTAGAAATTCACTGAAAACCCTGGTTCCAAGACCGGCAATCACCCTCAAACCGGACTCAACCATCTTGGTAAAAGACCGTAGAGCATCATCAACCCGCTCCGCTTTCAAGTATGCATCAATCATGGTTCTATACATTGGAACATCTGGTGTCAGAGACTTCCCACACAGTTCTTGAAAAAACTTGTCCGCCTCATATAGCATTCCACGCTCACAAAACCTGGCAATGATATTATTATAACCAGCAGCAGTGTCCATAGCAAAAGGCTTGGATCCCGGCTTCGTTCCTACCTTCTTGAAAGTTTTAATTGCCTCCTCAAAGTTCCCCAACTTAAAACACTCGTTCACCATGATATTAAAGGTATCCGAATTCACCGCCTGCGAGTTAGGAGGGGTATGATTATCCAACATATTTTCAAACAAGGCCCAAGCTTCTTTGTTCTTCCCATGTTTGAGTAAAACCTCCAAAAGGGCATTACAAGTGGGAGGAGGCATCTTAAATTTCCTATCCAACAACGACTTATACGACTCCATGGCCTCCTTATCCTTCCCCTGTTTAAACCACCACTTCATAAACGTAGCATTGACAACTCCATCATAAACCAAGCAACGCTCTTTCAGTTCATCAAACAACTCATTGGCCTTGTCCAAATTTCCCAAATTCAGAAACCCGCATATGAGGTTGTTGAAAACCAAAGAATCTGCACCGTGCCCTTTATTCAACATCTCCCGTAACAGATCCATGGCTTCCCCAATCCTCCCAGCATCGATCAAGCCCTTGGTCAAGTGCCTGTACGTCACAGGCGAGGGGCTAAAGGGTGCCCTCTCCAAAATCTCGTGGTAAACTTGGATAGCAGTATCGACTTCACCCCTATCGCAATGGGTATTAATCAAATTGTTGTAAGAAACAACATTTGGAACAATATCAGATTGCTTGAAGAAGTAATGAAAAAGAGCGATTGCCTCGTTGAAGCGTTTGTTCCGGTACATGGCGGCGATGATAGCGTTACAAGTGAAAACGGTGGGACGAGTAGAGGAGAAAACGGAGGAGCGAGCAAGGAGAGAGGCGGCGTCTAGGTCAGAGGCGCGGATAAGGGATTGAACACGGTTGTGAAGGTTAAGGCGATGGCCAACGAGGGCAGAGGTGCTGTCTGGAAGTCTTGGGGCATTAGGGTCCCGAGTGGGAGGGGAAGAGGGGGCAGAGGCACGGAGGGCATGTATTGGGGGCTCAATCCGCAAACGACGCTTGCGGCGGCGGCGCTCTGCGGCAGCTTCTTCTGCTGAATTGAAGGCGTAGGAGCGTTGGGGAGGGGGAGGGGGAAGATTCTGGATTGGGTTTTCAGAGGTAGGGTTAAGCGCTACATTGTGGAGGAAGTGGGAGAGGGGAAGAGGGGCACTGGGTCTCGGACAGTGGCGGCTGAGGGAGCGGAGGATGAGGAAGCGGAATAGGAACATCGTCGGTGTATTAACGGCGATACGAAAATAGGCTAAAACCCTACACACAAACAACAGCTGCTTAAACCTTAAACTCAGTGCACTTTGCTGCCTCTCATATTTAAACCCAATATACATGTACAAAAAAAATGTTAATCATTCATTACATCTAAAAGTTTATTATATATGGTATGTGACGCATTTTTAAGATAATAGATAAATGTTTAATACAAAAATAAGTATTTAAATTATATCGTTTTTATATATAGATATAGTTGATGAACGTTGTACATTTTAGATGTCTTATTTATAATTATTATTAAAAATATTTGTTAAATGATACATGTTGTATTTATATAATTTAAAAAATAATTTTTTTTAAAAAAAAATACTATTTAAATACATGTATTTATATACATGTTAACCATTCTGAGTTTTGGCTATGGTGGGAAAATGTGGGTTTCAGAGGGGTTTTGATTTCTGGACAGAAGAGTGTTTTTAAGTTGTTTCTAATTGTTTAAAAACATGTTTCTAATCACTTAGAGCAATAAAACAAGTTTGTAACTTCTTTGTTTGCTTTGGTTAGTGAAAGAACTTGGTGAGTGTTCTAAAGCTAAGAATAAGGAAAAGTTGGTTTTTTCGGAGGAGCATCGATTTTGAAAGAAATGGATGAAGAAGTGTTGAGAAATCCAAATAAACTCAAATTCTGTCAATAAATATTATGCTTGAAAAAGAAGAAGAAGAAAAGAAAAGAAAAGGAAGAAAAAGAAAAAAAACAAAAGAAGAATAAGAAAAAGAAAAAGAAAAAGAAAAAGAAAAAGAAAAAGAAAAAGAAAAGAAAGAAGAAATAAAAAAATGGGTTCAAGATGAAAATCCGCAAAGGGCATATTGAAACCAAAGGAAGGATTTTAGTTGAAAACTCGAAAGGGTGGCTCAAATGCATGTTGATATTAGGCATCTGGCAATTTATACTCTCTCGAGAGTCTGATATTTTGAGGGAAGCTTCACGTCTGCAAGCATTTTGACAACGTTTGACGTCTTCTAAATACATGCTTACATCAGTGCTCCAGGGTTGATTAGTACAGAAACCTTATTGCTAATAATGGTTGGAAGCATTTGTACTTTGTTTCTTGATTTTATTTCCTTTCTAAGATTTCCATGACTTTGTAAAAAATTTGAATTTTCATCAATAAATTGTATTTCTTTAAATCCAAGCTTTTGTTTCTGGCATTTCTTTCATTTTTAAGCATATTTCGAGTGAGTCAATATGGTGAATATATAAAAACATAAGATTTCTTGGTATTACTTTGAGCTAATCTTCGGAGCGTGGGGAATCCAAAGTAGTTTGAGATCTCGACACTCGAGTTTAGTGATGAAGAGTGTACGATTGAGCGTATTAAGTGATGAGCTTTGTGAGCCTAAAATTTGGAATGGAGAAATCAAGTTTGACATTTCAATTCTCGTTGGAGCATATTTTCATCAAGTTGATGCTATCTGAGGTATATAAGAAATACCGCAGTTTGGAAGAAGAAAAATGAAAAAGAAGAAGAAAAAGAAATGCAGAAAAAAGAAAAGAGAAGAAAAAGAAAAATAGAAGAAAAAAAGGTGAAAACCCAAAAGGACGCTTTGAGAACAGTGAATCTAAAGTGAAAACCTGAAAGGGCTCTTTAAAGCGGATAAGAGAAAGAAACCCGAAGGGAAGACATAGAAGGGTTTGATATCGAGCATGAGATGAAACCATGAGTTAAATTTTGCAAGGATCATGAAGATGAAGACTGAGCAAAGAAGAAGAGAATAATATAATTGACATCATGCATTCATGTTCATTCATTCATTTCAAACATTCTTACATTTTGACAAGGATAGAGATTTACAAAGAAGACATTCCTCAGCAGGAATTGGAGTTGATGAAGAACTCAACACATGTGCATCATTACATTTTACAGAAGCTTGTTGGAAGTTGAAGAAGTTCATATAAGAGAGCTTGTTCGGTTCTAACATCCATTTTGGTGCTTGATTTCATCACAGGAGGAGATGGATCAGTGTCAATATTTTGCCTGATTCTTCGTAGAAGGAGTTGAATCAGCATAACCTTTATTTGCTCGATTCTATCATAGAATGAGGTAGATTAGCATCGATATTCTGTTTGATTCTTCACAGAAGGAGTTGGATAAACATTTATTGTGTTACTTGATCCTTCACTGAAGGAGATGGATCAGTGACAAAACCTTTCACTGGATTCTTCACAGAAGAAGTTGGATCAATGAAAATCTTACCCTCGTTTCTTCACAGAAGGAGTCGAAATGGAATCACCATTTTTCTTGGTACCATCACAGAAGGAGGTGGGCCAGCTTCATCACTTTGCTTGATTCTTCACATAAGGAGTTGGGTCAGCATTGTGTTTTTGCTCTATTTCATCACAGAAGGAGGTGAATAAACATTTTTGTATGAAGATTGAGTTTATATAGGAGAGCTCATTTGACCTAGACTGAGTCATTGTGGTATAATGAAGGGTTCATATAGGAGATCTCGTTGTTCTGTCCTAGGCATTTTGAAAATGAGGAGTTCATATAGGAGAGTTTGCTCAGATTTTTGGAGTTGACTTTTATCAGAGGGTGAAGGGTTCATGTTAGAAGGATCTGGAGCTCATGGGTGGCAGTCAGTCGGATAAAATTGGTGTTTCTTGTTTTTTCTTCATTCATATTCCACGTCAATGAGCAAAGAGGGGTAGTTGTCATCATCCTATCTGGGTGGTGACACATTTCATATTATAGTATAGTGTGTATATAGAGTATAGTATGCATATGAGAGGATCACATATCATATATCGTATAGTATATAATTTTAGTTAAGTGGTTGCATATTAAATAATAATTGTGTGTGATAGTACATATTAAATATAGTTGCATTTGCATGTCATATAATATTAAATAATAATTGCTTATTTTAAATAATATTGCATGTTATATTAGATATTAAATAATTAGTATATTATATAGTTCATATTATATAGTTAGTATAGACTATATAGTTTGCATTTTAGAATATTAGTCCATTTTTTTTTAAATAAATAAAACTAAAAAAAGAGTCCATTTGTATTAAAAAGAATCCATTTACATAGTTTTTTTTACATAGACCCAAATTAGCTGACACATGTTTACATATATGCATTAAATAAATAAAAGCATAATATCTACACATATAGCCGTCGGTTTTGGGATGTTTTTAGGGGGGAATTTTGTTGTTTTGAAAAGTAAAAGATGGGGCATTATTTAATGGTTCATCTTTTTAGGTGGTGACGTCACCAATATTGGTGAAAAAGCACAAGTCATCTCCACTCTTGATTGGATTCCATCCAATGGCTATGGATGATTCAATCCAAGTGAAACAAACACAAATGGATGAGAGCCATTGAATAGGAGAAGGATCCAAGGGCCTCGATTGTGCCACGTCATCGATCCATGTCAAGAAAGCACAAATGCATCTGAACCATTGGATCTAGATTTGATCAAATGGTTAAGATTTTATCATCCAAGGAGGCTTGGTTCTCCCATTGGCGTGTCCCACTGGTCGGGTTGTTTCGCCGTTGATGAGTCGCCATTGTTCCACCATCGCATCGTCGCCGTATCACGCCACCACCGGTTGGGTTTCGTAGTATGCAAAAATAAAGAAAATTCAGTTAAAGAACCTTTATGAATCCGAGCTCATTCTAACCATTTTTTAGTGGGAACGGTTGTATTAAGAGCACAAAATCGTGAATATAAAAGGATCTTCAATCATTATCATTAATCATAGAGATAATCACAACTAGTCATCAACCGAAGCAATATTCATCATCACCAAGCAACATTTCCAAAATCTTAAAAAAATAGAGAGATGAGAAGTGTTTTTTACCTTCGTGTTTGTCTCGTCGCCATTCGTTGCTTATCTTGGGTGCAAGGTGAGCTTTCCTTTATTATACATTTTTTTTGGTTTTTTTTGGGAAGGTTCGAATGGGTTCCGGCTGGAGTTGGATGCGGTGGCCGACTGGAGTTAGATGATGGTCGGGGTTGATTGGAGCTCGATTTCGGTTAGTGAATGGGAAGTTGGGTTTTGGTTCTTATGAACCATTGGTTTTAGGTTTGGGGATGAAGAAAACTTGGGTAGTTTTTAGGTGGTGTTCTTGGGGTTCTTAGGTTTAGAGAGAAAACAACTTGTTTTGATCTAAAGATAACATGTTTGGGTTGTTTGATGGTGTTAGTGGAATATCAAAATGGGTTGTTAGATAAGAACTTAGGAAGAACTTGGGAAGATGAGTATTGTTTTGTCTTGAAAAATATTTTTTGAGTGGATTTAGGTGTTTTTTAGATCAAAGCTTGAATTTTTGGATGAACAATGGATGAATATTATTAACTAAGGAAGAACATGTTGATTTTGGGGTTTCGATTGAGAGCATTTTTGGGGAAGAGGATATTTTGGAAGAGTGAAAAAAATGAGGCTTGTGTTAGATTTTTGGCTTTTATGGTGATTAACTTTTGGGCTAATTGTTTCATTAAAACACTACATGGTTAGCGTGTTTTCACTATTGTCTGTGACTTTTCATCTATTTTATTTTAGTCACTAAATGTTTGTAATTTGTTCCCCGAATTTTAATTGATTTCGATTTAGTCATCAATTTCACTCCAATTATTTATTGCTTGCATGAATATGTTTAATTGTTAATATTAAATGTTAATTTGTGAATCTTTTAAAATGGTCATGTGTTTAATTGTAGAATAAAACCTTTAGTTTTTTTCACTATTTTAATTTGATCATTAATATTAATTGGCCTTAGTTCTTTTAATCAAGCCTTAGATTTTAAGTGCTTTAGTTATTAATTAAAACTTTAGTTTAGGTTCCTTAATTAGAAATCAATAAGTTTAGTAATGCCCTTTTAGGTTTAGTTTCCATAATAATATTGATTAGAAACACATAAATATAAGTTCATAATTAATTAAAAGGAATATTCTTTTATTCCTAAATATTAAAAGGGGTGGTCTTAAAATAACTAGACATTCATGTTCAATATTTATTTTTCGAATAAATGAATATTCTATCCAGTGATCACCCCAAAAATCAAATAGGTTCCCTAATTTTAAATAAAAAGGTAGATATTTATTCCTACATTTAAATTGCTAAGGACGAGTTGTTTGATTACTTCAAAGTTTGACCTTCATTCTTTAAATCACGGAACATCCTTATTCTTTTAGTTAATAATTTGCCTAATTTGTCACCTTTAATTTTCTATTAGGGTTTAACAATTGAAAAATTCTTTAATTTTTAAGGATGACGATATTTCATTATTTCGATTAAAACATAAGAAATAACCACCTTAATTCTGATTAGGGGTTAGTTTCTTCTTTAATTGGAAATAACAAATATTGTGTGTGTCTCTAAAATTTTAAAATATTTTAATGAATAAAGGGATCATTAACTAAATAAAGATTCAAATTTCTTAATTTTTGATATAGGGACAAATTAATAATTGGAAATACCAATTTTGGGCGTTGTGGGGGTTCTAATCCTTCCTCAAATGTAATCGACTCCTGAACCCAAAATCTCTAAATCACAGACTGAATCCCGTCGTTTTAAATTTTTTATTTAAAGGGGTGTATCCCAGGTTTTCAACCTACCCAGTCCCAAAGGTTGATGGCGACAACAATCATTTCAAATCTTTTCTAAAATTCAATTTTTAAATTTATTCCGATTTTTGCCTCTTCAAAAAAGTCATCGCGACAGGAATGATGGAAATGTAAATGTTCGTCAATTTAAATTCATCAAATAAGGATCGTTAGAACATATAAAGGTCCGATCTCGATGTCTTTAAATAATCAAACATCCTAGTTCTTTCTAAAGGATTGATAATATATAATTAATTTTTATTTTATTTCATACATCGAAAATATGGATTAATAACAAATTTATGAATCGAATGACGATAGTTCTTCGTTTCGATTAAAAAATGAACTGACTACTTTAAGACATGAGAGGTCTTTTATTTCGATACAAAATAATTAAATATGCTATTTCTTTCATAAATTCAAAGACTAATTTTTATGGGTTTAAAAAGGGATATTAAATTAAATTATACTCAAATTTGTTAGTTTCATTGCAAAGACAACGAATTAATCGACTAGGTACCAATTTAGGACGTTGTGGGGGTGCTAATCCTTCCATCCGTGTAATCGACCCTTGAATCCTTTTCAAAATGAGTTTTTTTTGTTAAACGAATACTGCTTTTGGGTGCCCAATCACACACTAATCAAATATTGGTGATGACTCCTCGAACCGTTTTCGATTTTAAAAAAGTAAATCTAAATTAATTGAGGCGATCCCTTTTTAAACCCCCAATTTTATCGATTTTTTAGAATTCGCTTTGACAATCAGGACACATAAAGTGATAACGTTTGTAATGTTAGGCACCTCGATGAATAAAAAAAGTTTGGGCACCTATTTGGGTAAAGCAATATAGTTTGGACACTTATTTTCTAATTAAGCCATTTTATTTTAATTAAAATTCTGAAATGTGACACATGTCACTTAAAGAACTTTTTTAACGGTCGAGACACCTAAAGTGGTAATATTGTAACGTTAGGAACCTAGATGGATTGAAAAAAAAAGGTTTGGGTACCTATTTAAGAAAAATAATATAATTTGGGCACTAATTTTTATATTAAGCCTATATAAATATTTTGTAATTGAGAAATGAATTAGAATAGCTTGCGACAACAACAACCGTGTCAACGATGGCAACTAATGGGGTAGTGGAAATAAATGAGATGATATATATCGCAAATTACTTTAGTTCAATTCAGTTAAAGTTCGGTCAACACTTGAATCGAATATAATTGACTTGAAATCGAGTTCTTAATGAGTTGAAGCAAGCTTCTTGATACTTGACTCGAAAAACTCACGAACAATTAATAATAATAATATATTAACCACTTAAATTAAATTATTATTATTAATAACATTTATATGTAATTTTTTAATATATATATATATACACACACACGAGTCTTATGTACTTAAAGTTCAAGTTTGAGGTCAAGTTCAAACTTGAATTGAACTCAAGTTTAAACTTCAATAGAGTTAAGTCTGAAAATGTTTCTAGTTCAAGTTTTTTCAAGCTCGAGTCGATCTTCAATTTTTTATTTCGAGTTTGAGTCAAGCTTTCGAAGCTTGTGAGCTTTCGAGTTGGGTTGAGCCTCAATTTTTGATTTTGAGTTCGAGTCAAAATTGATAATTTTGAGTAGAGACGAGCTTAGTTTTAAACTTTTTTTAGTCGAGTCAAGCTTAGCAATACTCGAACTTGACTTGACACATTTACAACCCTAGTAACGAAGATTTGGAATTAAAAAATTTAGGTATATATAAGTTTTTTTCAAATAAATCTTTAATTTTTTTATAAATATGGCACATGTCAAATAACAATTATTTTAACGATCATTATAACACACTTAAAAGAGTAGCATCGAAAACATTAAATACATACTTACTTTAAGCAAAAAGCAAAAAGCAAAAAGCAAAAAATACTTTAGACATAAAATGAACAAATGGTATAGTTTGTGCCCTTAGTTTTTATTAAGCCCTTTTATTTTATTATGAAAACAAGCAAATGGCAATTTGCTACTACACTACATAAACAAAATAATTATTTTTCAATCCAAGGAAAGTAGTAACAGTTGACCGCAGATGAGGATCTCATTGTTGTTTTGAGGCAACCTTTCATAATTAATATGCTACAATTAAGAGTCTTTTTTGCATAAATGCACTAATGCAGCTCAAAACAAGAAATATCAAACAAGTGGTGTGACCATACAATCTAAAATCAGATTAAAGGCCTTCTCTAAGGGTAGTCCTAAAACAAAAACGTTGATAGATATCCTGGTGCTGGGAGGAGCTTTGATAAAACATATGAAACGAGTACAACCCTGAAAGTGAAACAAGTGCTAACACTACAGAAGCAAAACTACCAATTAATAGTACTAGAGCCTGATGATTCCATCGTCTGGACGTCTGGTGCAGTTACCACGTCCAGATTAAGATCAGGGGGTTTAGGCTCCCCCGCCCTCTCACGAATCTCCCTGTACTCTTGACAAATCGCACATAGATGGCAGAAAAAGTGAGTTGCAAAGTCCCCGCAAGGTGCTTCCTGCATCAGACATAAAATAATAATAATTAGCAAATAAAAAATCCAATACTAGTGCAAGCGGATTGATAGAAATCTTATCAAGCTGCATAACATAGAGAAAGAAATTTGGTGTTGCCCAATAATTCATTCTGAAAGATACCGCCAAACACAAAAGGTGAAGATACCATTAGATGATTTGAGAAAATCCTGTTACTAAAGATTGAACAACTTGCCTGTATATGAAAAACATTTAAGATTTTTTAAATGTCAAACCTTAACATTGTTGATAATCATAGGGTTCATTAATTTTGGGCGCGAGGGCAGGATTCATTTCTCAAATCAGTTCTCACCAAAAGTAAATGAGGTGAATAGAAAAGGCGCTTATGTGCCAAAATACTACCATTTCCCATCTTGAAACCCCATAGTTAGTAGGACTTCCAAATTTATTTACCATATTGCATCCAGACAAGCTATTAAAAGGAATGAGGTACAAGAACTTCAAATCTAATGAAAACTCAAAAAAATCACCTATAAACTAAAGTCTCAACAATCCCTAGTAACTGTACCATCTAGCCCATTCCATACACCGATGACATGAGTCACTTATAGAGGTTTCCATAAAAGCAGATTTCAAGTAAAATATACTCATACTTGGTGCAAGTACTGAGGGGAGTGTTATTTTTCCCTTTTCGATTAAGGGTTGGAGAATGACTTCTTGTCCTATTGTGTATATCCATAATCCATGATCCAACAAAGGGTTTGCTAATGAAGTCATATCGTTGTTACATAGAGTTGAGGCAACATCATGGAAACTTACCTCCTGGAAGACCACTTCATGGTTAGTCATTTTCTTAGGCTCCGTTTGTTTCAGGTATTTCATTTTCCGGAAAAGACTTTCCCCCTTTTCTGGTGTTTGCTTAGGGAAAATAAAATACGGTCAAAAGAAATGGAATTACAGTCAAAGGGGAAAAGGCAATAAAACACGGTAAAACAACTTACCGAAAATTTCTTGGTAAGTCATTTTCCTAAACTCACAGGTTATTTTCATTTCCCCAAATCCCTCATCCTGGACCTAGAAAGTTCACCGTCATCAACCATTCATTGGCAATCAGCTCTTCTCATCGGCTCTATTCCCCTCAATGGCTCTCTTCCTCTCATCGGTTTCTCATGGGTTCACCATCGTCACCTTAAAGCTTCTCACCGGTTCTTTCTATTTCCCCCAAATCCTTTAACTCTTTATGTTATTTTTCTTCACCCTGTTTAGATTATGTAAGAATTGTTCCTGGGTTTACTTTTATTTTCACAATGTTAGGAGTTTTCGAACTGTTTTTTTTTTGTAGCAAGAGATCTCAAAGAACCTGTGCATACAGATGATTTCTGGGTTATCTGTTTGATATCAGGACTCTACAAGGAACTACTATAACTCGGGTTAGCTTTAGATTTAAATATTTTGTTGCTAAGTGTATTTAATTCACGCAATAAGTTTTTCTTTTTCCTTTATATTGTCATATAATTGTGTTGGCGTCGCTTGAGATAATTTTTACACTTCATATGGATTATCGGTTAGGATTAGTGATATTGTTTCGAGTCTAGGTTAAGATTTGGCCTGTTTTAATTTCTCATGAAATGCTGCAAATAAAAGAAAGCTAAAGGTATTAACCTTTAATCATATCAAGCCTAATGTTATGGAGCAAGTGAAGGATCCTCAAGCAAATCCAGCTCGCAGATTCCAGAGTTGTATGAAAACCATGGTTTACTTGAATGTTGTCCATGGATTTTGGCTGGTTGGTGTGCAATATATTTTGGCTGGTAAGAGTGCAGGATGGAAAGCATTCTCTACTAATTATAATATAGTCGAAGGGGATGTTCTACTCTTCCATTTGGTCAGTTCTTCAAAGTTTAAGGTACTGTTCGATTTATTTTTTTTGCATTTGTATGAAGAATTCTCTTTATTACCATCCCAAACGAATTTGCTTCTATTATATTTTTGTAGGTTTACATAGTCCGAGCATACAAATCAAACTGAGTTGATAGTTCTTTTGATTCACTAGATGTGAATACAGGCGAAACTTATTCATTCAAGTATGTTCTCTTTAAACTTCTTGTTCTTTTTTTCATTCTTTCTTTTTTCCTTTTGGTAATTTTAAAGCTCCCTCACATTGTCGTTCCAATTGTGCCCATAATTTTCTGGGAAATGTTGAATCTTAAAGAACAATAAAAGTTCGTACAAAGCAGACAAAGAGATCCTCTAAGAAAGACAAGTGTTTGCGAAACTTAAAGAGGCTATGCGTGAGCTCGATGTCGAGATAGAAACCCTAAAAGTAAATGCCGAGAAGCATGAGCTCATGTTTCAGAAAGCGGTTATCATCATATGGTGATCACTTGCATTCCTCATTGTTTTAAAGTTTTCCCAGGAGATATAGTTTAATGTTCTCCATGATACGTCAATGTGTATTGGTTCATGTAAGCTTATATATGGAAGTTGTTGTAAAAATAGTTTAAGATCCTATTTATTGAATTAAAATGCACCAGCAAGGGGTGACTGGATTACAGGTTTTACAAAGAATATAGGGACAACATCGGCCCTCCACGCAGAGCTCTGGAGCATCTATGAAGGTTTACTCATTGCAAGGAGCCTTGGGGTTCTCAGATTATTGATACAATCAGACTGTAATAGAGAAGTCAAGCTGGTCGAAGATAATGCTGCCATTGACAGTCATATTCCACTAGTGTGCGCAATCCTGAAGCAACGAAGGTCTGGATGCTGGATAACAAAGGTCCAATGGATAAGCAGGAATGAGAACAAGATTGCAGATAAGATGGCAAAGCTTGCCTCCTGGAATCACTTCAGTTTGATTCGTTTTGACTCTCCCCCTGATGAGCTTGTTGATCTTCTTCGATTAGAAGCAGTCGATGCACAACAAAACGATGCCACTAGACATGCTTAGACTACTGTCTTAGGCTTTCTTTTAATTCAAAAAAAAAAATGCACCAGCAAGGAGTTTAACTACCTCTTTAACATGTTTGTTGGATATTAAAAATATTAATATGTTTTGACTTATTTTGTTATTACAAGTGTTATGATTTGAGTTTGTTTGATGTTATGATTTGAGTTTGTTTGATGTTATGATTTGAGTTTGTTTGGTGTTATGATTTGAGTTTGTTTGGTGTTATGATTTGAGTTTGCTTGGTGTTATATTTTGAGTTTGTTGATTATAGAAATTATTTTTCATATTATATATATATAAGAATGAGACTTTAAATTTTAATTTGACTTAGTTATAAAATTAAAATATTATAATATATACAAAAAATTTTATAAAAAATAATTTTATAATAATGAAATTAACATAATAAAAATAAAAAAATAAAAAAATTATAATATGTTTTTAATTTCATTAAAAATCAAATTTAAAAAACATTTTCAATAGAAACTACCAAACAACGGAAAATGAATTTCACAATGTCATCCAAACACCAGAAAATACTTTCTAGAATTCATTTTCCAGAAATTGTAATTCATTTTCTAGAAAACCAATTACAGCGAAACAAACAAACCCTTAATAGGATTTTATGACCTGGAAGTTATCCTATCAAAACTAGAAGGCCCTCCCTAAGGTCTATCATTGTGACATATCTATTTCCACATAAACTCCACAGGAAAAGTGCCTTAAGATCAATTTATTAATAGTACAAAAAAAAAAAAAACAATGAAAGGGTGATGGTAGTTCAATTTCCAAAATGGTTCCCATGGTCCCATGGCACGTTAATAAGAAATTGATAATGGAGCATGATTAATGTTTTCCGAGGATGATTCTCCTTGTAAAAATGATCAATAGTTAGATACTAAAACATGAAAGCAGTTAATGCATAGAGCAAAGAAGCTAGTAAAAGGATTAACTTGAAATTACTTGGAACTTTGCCCAAGGATAACTATCAATGAATCCAAAAGGATAACTTGTTGCTACATATAAGAATTTCAGCACTAGCTGCCTGAGTTTCAGACTTTTTACATCTGATCCCAATTAGAAAAGACGAAAAAGAAGTCCAGGTTCCAACCTTAACACTAACTAAAAAATACATTTTGCTCCTACTTCTATATACCAAGGATACCCAAAAAGACAAATAATCCACCCTTAACTTCGAGCACATGGTTAAAGCCTGGAAATCTCCTACTAAAATTTGAACTTGATATAGAAGTCTGTGGTGAAGAATCAGTCCTCTAGACCCAATGAAGAACTATTCCTAAACCACCCTCACAAATTTGAGAATAATATTATCCAATAAATTAAAAATATTGATTTGCTCCAGAAAGTAAGACCTAAGTGGGAGTGTGGGACCAATTTAGCAAAAAATTCATAGAAAACATGCTACTACTTCGAGGAAATATGCTATTGTAGGAATTATAGAGATATGATTTTTTACCATTCCTTTAGTTAAGGGATTCTGTAAATAGATTTCTACAATCCCTTATTTAAAGGGATCATATCCTAGGATTAGTATCTTTCCTTTCTTAAGAGTTTCGTACTTTAGAGAGATAATTTGAATATAAAGATGTAATCTGTCCTATTGAAAATAATAAGAAAATACAGAGAATTACTCTGATTTCTACATGGTACCAGATTAGGTTACGGTTTCTTTCCAACCTAGATCATGTCCGCGACCTCTTCTCCTACATCTCCTTCGTTTATTTAGGAGATCATTTCGAATCCATAAAATCTTTCTGATTCTAGCACTCAAACAGATTCATCTGGTCTGGTTATTACATGTCATCGATTGAATGGCAACAACTTTCTTGAATGGACCCAATCAGTTAAGATTTTTCTCTTAGGCAGAGAAAGATTGGGCTATGTTACTGGTGAAATCCAGAAGCCTGCTGCGGCTGACAATGTTTTTTCTAAGTGGATGCGTGACAATGGTCAGGTTATGACTTGGCTCCTCAATTCCATGATCCCGAGTATCAGCAGAAACTTTCTTCTGTACAACACAGCCGCTGAAATATGGAGTGCAGTCCATGAAAC